TTTTGCAAAAGCGTAAATATCCAACGCACATGGCACCCTTTAACGTCTAATGAGACGCTTCGGTTATGGTTAAGTTTAGGTAAGGTGTAGGGTAAGGGTTAGACCACTAGGGGGCGCCTTCTGCCCAAATATATCTGCGTCCCATTTCACGTTAAAGGGTGCCATGTGCGTTGGATATTTACGCTTTTGCAAAAGCGTCCTATATGGCGCTTTGGGATGAGAACGGGCTCATTCATGCCCAAAGGAATAAATAAAGCACAAATAAAAGCTCTTTCAACCCATTTGTGAGTCAAATATGGACAAACCCAGCAATTGGGTTCATTTTTTTAAATTGCATTTTTAATCCAAAGTTTGGGTTAGTCCATTTTGACCCCAAATTGGGTTTGAAACAACCCAACATTTTTTAGAGTGTTGTTTCTCATTTTCCCCTAGACAGCAATGCGTGGGATAGTTCACCCAAAAGTTAAAATTTTGTCATCATTTGGTCGACTCACCCTCAAGTTGTTCCAGACATGAAGAAACATCTGTTGAACACAGAAGATGTTCGAGGATCGAGGATGGAGAGTCCAGGTTTATCCAGTGGAAGTGGGTTGTCGAGGTTTTGTGGCACACTCTACAACCCGGTTCCTCAGAGACGTCGGGTTCAGTGGCCAAGAGTTGTGTCGCACAGTAAAGAACTCCTCTGAAGCAGCAGAAAGGAGCAGCAACTGGCTGTGGTTGAGACAGACAGATTCTAGCTGGCTGTGTACAGGCCGCCACGCTACGGTTTCATAGAGTTCTTGAAAAACCAAAGAGTCTGCTGGTTATTTGTATAGGTTGCATAGTAATTATATTCCTGTGTATATTGCGTGAATGACGGGTGATTGGGCAGATATTGTGTTTTGCGGTTGGTGGTATGCCATACGGAAACTGCTTTAACGCACCAGTGAGGCTCGACAGCCTTAGCCAAACAGGTTGGCGTGTATGGTTGGGTTGCGGAGAGATTGTGAGATTGTGGTTAGGTCTCAGCAGCAGATGGTGGCCATAAAGGGATGGACATAGTCAGAAACAATGCTCAGGTAGGCCATGGCATTTAAACAATGGCCAATTGGCGCTAAGGGGCCTAAAGTGTGCCAAGAAAACATCCCCCACACCATTACACCACCACCACCAGCCTGCACAGTGGTAACAAGGCATGATGGATCCATGTTCTCATTCTGTTTACGCCAAATTCTGACTCTACCATCTGAATGTCTCAACAGAAATCGAGACTCATCAGACCAGGCAACGTTTTTCCAGTCTTCGACTGTCCAATTTTGGTGAGCTCTTGTAAATTGTAGCCCCTTTTTCCTATTTGTAGTGGGGAAAACTGCTCAATCTAGATGGTTGTGGTGCTGGTCCACTAGGGAGACCACTGTTGTTGCTGCCATTGTGTGTGCTGATGTGCCAAGTACACTGCAGCCGTTAATGCCGGATATAAGTGGAGTCACACCACCTTATGGAAAGAAGCGTAAATGGATGGAGAAGCATAGTTTAATGCAAAGCTGTCTTAGTTTTGCTTATCTTGGTGAAAGCCTAGTACAAATTAGCATGAAGTTGTAACATCTACTCTCGTGTAATGGAAATCACCCATTGACTTCCATAGTTTTTTTTTCCCAACAATGGAAGTCAATGGGTGAACTATTCCTTTAACCCCTTAACGCCCACTGTCACAAATATGCTACAAACCGTTTGACTCAGTCAACCAGCCGAGATAACGTCTGCATTCCCCCAATGCCGGTTAGTGCATATTCGCTACGGACCTAGGACCTTCGACAAGCACTTGTTTCTAGTGGGACCGCAAAGTGATGGACTTATTTCCTGTTTACGCACGAGGATTACTCCGGTCAGGAACATTTGCAACATTTGCAACATACCAAATTGACCATTATGCCCACTGTTGCAGATTTGCAACATACCAAATTGACCCCAAATGGACCATTATGCCCGCTGTTGCAGATTTGCAACATACCAAATTGACCATTATGCCCGCTGTTGCAGATTTGCAACATCCCAAATTGACCATTATGCCCACTGTTGCAGATTTGCAACATACCAAATTGACCCCAAATGGACCATTATGCCCGCTGTTGCAGATTTGCAACATACCAAATTGACCATTATGCCCGCTGTTGCAGATTTGCAACATCCCAAATTGACCATTATGCCCGCTGTTGCAGATTTGCAACATACCAAATTGACCATTATGCCCGCTGTTGTAGATTTGCAACATCCCAAATTGACCATTATGCCCGCTGTTGCAGATTTGCAACATACCAAAATTTTGATTTATTTGTTGTGCAAAAGTGAAATTGATAATCTCCACATTATTTACCATCTACTTAAAGGCAAAAACACACATAAAACATTTTTTTTATATACAGCTATAAATTCAGGCGTTAAGGGGTTAAGTGGAGAGCAGATGGATTTTTACTGAAGTCTGCGGCTTCTTGGATTCTTCTCTTGAGAAAAAGACCCCAGAAATCTCACATCAAATCTTCTCTAGTGCATTTTTTCTCAATCAAGCGGTCTGTGCATACTTGCAACGGTGCTAGAAAATGACTAAACAAAAAATAGAATTATGTTATAACTGCAGAAGATCCAAGCCTAAAACATCATGTTTCCGCAGCGCTGAGCTCTCACTCTGACACTTTTTCACTGCAGCGCAGAGGTCCACTTGGATTGATTTTTTTTCATCCCACTACTGCGAGTTTCAGTCCACACCGCCCACTACTGCCGAATTGTACTTTGAGTAGGTACACTTGATCCATGTTTGCAGTGAATCTGTTCTCACACGGTCCTGCTTCATTCAGGATCTGTAACTGAGGTCCTTTGATTTATTCATCAATCTAAGTATACACAGCTGTTTATGCTTTTAGACCCGCGTCATATCTTTTAAGTTGTCTAATACAAACTGTTGTTTTTAATTTAGAATCCTTTTCAATCCTGCCATTAATTATGATTGGCAGGACTTTGGGGTTGGAAAAAATGGACTGTCTGGTAATGGAGTCCAAAAGCTTGAGAAGCACAAGAGTTTCAGAAGTGATCTCAACAAACAGCGCTAAGATTTGCCAAGATATAAAAGCCAATTTAAGATCTCATTATGAGCTCAAACATTCCTCATCAAATTCTTCCTTTTTCCCTTGTAGTTAGTCGCCCATATATTTTAATAAACAGATGTAATTCATGTATTTCCATGTAACTAGATTTCATAAACGTATTTCCGATCGACCAGCTCACTTAGCACGGCGTTCGTGGTTTGAAATGAAATGTATTTATTTGTTTCAGCCTGAGCTATCTTCATAGATAGCAACCGTTCTTGGAGATGATACCAGTGATGAGAAACTAGCTCTTTTCATTTCAATCTGATTGGCATCAATGTTCTTAGATTTGTGTGGATTCAAGGCAGAAGAACTGTGACGTTTCAGGTCAGAGATGCTGGTACATGCAGATGCCACTGTCGTTTAGCAGTCCATCGTGAAGCTGCATTCCTGAAGGAGCTGGGTGCGGTTTATATGGTAGAAATGAGACGTATGCTAGTGCTGTCTGCAGTGACGCAAACTCAAGACATGAGTCATCATCAGTGCTGGATTCCCAAGAGCTGTTTATCATATAATACAGCAGACTCTGGATCTACAGTTGCAGAGCGAACACTGTCACGATCGCACAACCACACAGCAGACTCACCCCATACACACTCAAATGTTGTGGTGCCATAGCCTACTAATTACATCCATGGTCTTTGTATAAAAATCCACTTATGAAAAGATGACTGAAGAACCCAGTTTGACTGCTCTGTTGTTTAGTGTGAGCATAAGCTTGTGTTTAGCTGGTCATTGTCGCTAAATAAAGTCGGTTTATTTTGGGTTAATAATCTGCTTACTGTACCATTATGTTTATGACTGTTTATCAATTAAATACAATCATAGATGTGTATGAATCAAGGATTCAACTTTGAAATAACTGTGTTGCCTGGCTTGTAGATTAGCTCAAAGCTCCTATTAAAATGTAGACAACTGTCAGCCTGGCAAGAAAATGAGCACATTCAAAATATTTATTGTTAATTGAAACTCTGAAATCCATGTTTGCTAACTTGTTGTAGTACAATGCGACATGTCTAAAGTTTTATAACTATTATAAGTTAAAATTATTACTATAATAAATACATAGGTATGGTATATAAGTACCCCTTGAGATTTTTACATTAATATTTCAATAATTTAACAACACATTTTCATGTTCACAGTTCTCTGATATCGATTAACGGTCACATGACATGCAGGTAAAACATAAAGGTACAGTAACACTTTACAATAAGGTTTCATTTGTTAACATTAGTTAACATGAACTAACAGTGAACAATACTTATACAGCATTAATTAATCTCAACATTTATGAATACACTTTTAAGATCAAAAGTTGTATGTGTTAATTAATAAATGTGTATAAATTAAATAAATTAATGAATTAAGTAAATGTGAATTAGCATGACGTGTGTAGCCTATATATGTATATGTATATATATATATATATATATGTGTGTGTGTATATATATATATATATATATATATTCACTGTGTGTATGGATGTACATATAGCCACACAGAGACTTCTGTAATCATGATGCAAATGATTAATTGAATGAGTTTTGAATGGATTTTTATGTTTTTTTTTTATAGATTTGAAACATTTTGAACTGTTTCATGTAAATGAATCGATCTTACCAACTGGGTACAGACACTTTCTCATGCTTAACATGGTTGTTTTATGGATTAACATTTTAACACAATCAATATTATGTCAGTTGAGTTCATTGGCTATTGACGAGCTCCTGTGTTCCAACTTAAGGACTAGAAAAGAAACTGTGTGTTTCTTCTTGATTTATTCTGGAAATTCTGCAACTAAAGTATTCCTTTCCCATGTACCCTTGCTCCTCTGTTTGTTTTGGGATCTGGTGGCCTAATGCGGTCTCGCTCTTACAGGTTATGCCACCCCACAGGCTGACTGGAAATCCAGCCGTGAAAGAGAAGGGCTGATCCCAGACCCCCTCGTGTTCCCGCAGCTGCGCCCCTCCCTGTCCCCATGGCGACAGGAGGTCATGCCCCCGAGACAGATGTGTTAATCAACCTGCATCAGGTGAGAGATGTGAAGACCCTGCCTGTTGTGAGTTTTTTTTTTTTTTTTTTTGCAGAGATGCCTAACCATTTTAGTTCTTTAAGGTACAATATGTAAGAATTTTATAATAAATATCCAAAAAATCACTTGCATACTTCCAGTAGTTGTGTACTTACAATATCCCAATTTTCAGAGAAATTCCCATTTTAAATAATTGGCCGTCCCGGGATCCCTGTTCACTTGTTGCCTGTCAATGACATAATATCCGCGTTATCCCTGGTTTCCGCTAGTAGTACTACAGTAACCATGGCAACAGACGTGGCCAACTGCCTAGTGCGTAACGTCTAGCCGTACGCTGTTGTTGTTTCGTTCAAACATAATGGACCATGACAAGCAGACTTTGGGGGAAAAGAAGAACTAAAACTAGGATTAATATCAACTAGGTGTTTTCAAGATGCCGTGAGCTCCACGTCCGTGACAAACTTCGACTTGACAGAGCTCTTACATATACTTTATTAGACAGGTGAGCAAATGTACATAAAACTAATCAATTTTATTTAGTTCAACATGATTAAATGTTAGAATATGATCTGTATGTTATTCTAATGTTGATCTAGCGTAGTGCTAGTCTCAGATAGCCAACAAACTAACACATACAATACATAGAACTTTCATCAAATAGAGTGTGATTGTGTCGTCGACTAAGTGGGACAGTTAACTGTTACCTCACAAGCTTCATTCGTCTAATAAACTGAGCTGCGTGAGTATTAAAGGAACATTCTGACTTTTTGGGACTTTAGCTTATTTACCATATCCCCCAGAGTTATATAAGTCCATACATATACCTTTTTCATCTCCGTGCGTGCTGCAACTCTGTCTGACGCACCCACCGCTAGCCTAGCTTAGCACAAAGACTGGATGTAAATGGATACAGCTAGCATACTAATCCCAAATAAGTGACAAAATAAGGCAAACATTTTCCTATTTACATGTTGTGATTTGTAAAATTACAGAGTGTACAAATAACAAGGTCATATGAGACACAGCCCTCTTTTAACCGTATAAATATTTGGGAACTATATTCTCAGAAGGCGAAGCACTGCTACTTGGGCGGAGTGATAACCGCAGCACCCGAGACGCACCGTGGTGAGTTCGTTCAGAGTTGGAGTAATAGAGTTAGCAATTACTAGATAGTAAAAGCATACACTGTAAAAAACAAACCGTAAATTTTACGGTAAAAAACCGGCAGCTGTGGTTGCCAGAACTTTACCGTTAAAAATACGGTAGGAACATTAATGGTTTTACAGACTTAACTTAAAATTTACAGTAACAAACCGTAATTTATTTTCTGATAAAATGTGGATTTACCAATTTATTGATGTATTGATATCTGTTTTAGACCATTGTAATACACTGACAACCAACAATCATCACAACAGTGTTGAGAGTTACATGAGCAATCGCAGCTCATCACAAGTGAATACTTGTATAAAGCAATACTTAATTAAAGAAGCTGCACAATGTCATTCACACAAACATTAAGCACCATCATGGTAACACACATGAAATTAAAAAAATGCAATAAACATTAATTTAACAACATTAAATGTAGCATATAACCCCAATGAACATAACTGATTAGAAAAAACAAACAAACAAACAAACAAAAAACAATAAAAATATGAGGAACCATAGTAATTTCAACAAAAATACATAAAATGTGAAGTGTCACACGGGGAATTGTGGGAATGTCAATTTACGGTTTTTCACTGTAAATTATACGATGATTTGTTCTTTTTCACTTTCAAAAACTGTAAATTTAACTGTATTTTACTGTAAAATTATATCACAGTTATTTACTGTGTTTAGTACGGAAACTTTCTGTTTACCAATTAACAGTTTTGCACTGTAGCATTTTTACAGTATTTTACCATTAAAATCACGGTTATTTTTTACAGTGTAGTTTACAGTCATGAGTGTTCGTTGTATTGTAAAGACCAGGTAATACCATGATGATATAATGTGAATAAATGGCTTAGTTACTTGCTCTAGATAAAGCGTTGTAACAGTCAAATTTGTGTATGTTTTTTTTTTTTTTTTTGGTTGGGGTTGTAATTGTACTACACACCTTGAGGGGGCAACAAGGAGTAATACTCTCAGTAATAAAACAGGTGTAGAGAGTAGAAGTAGCAGATTGGTAATGGAGAAATAACCATGCCTTATGAATACAAACGATCAATAGTCCTGATTGGGAAACTAAGAGTTTGATGCTCAATCGGAAGTAAGCAGTGTTTATATTCTTATGTTGACTGGTGGATGTATGAATATTTCTTTTCCTAATGTAATGATTTTGTTTTGTAGAAGGACTTCACATTCTGTGGGGTTTGTCCTTCTGTCGTTTATGCCTGATTTGGTTTGTTAAAAACATCAATGTATTAGTCACTCATCCATAAACATTATTAGATCCATCAGCTTGACGGCAAGTTCCATAAATCTGCAGGAAATTTTGCGCCATCAACCTACGCCTGTGTAATTATAAGACTCGATTAGCGACCATTAGCGACCCCTAGCATTTTCTTAGTGTGAAGAATATTTTAATAATCTAAAGGACCTTTTTCCACATTAAAGAATATTTTGTGGAATGGAAATGCTATGGATGTTCTTTATGGAACCATAAATGCCAATAAAGATCCTTAAGATTGTAGATTATTAAGAGCATATTGCTTTTGTGGTGCTATAAAGCAGAAGCACAGCTGTGGAGTTGAGTTGTGGAGTTTCAACATTGAGCCTATTTAGAAAAAGGGTGAACATGCACTAGTCTAGAAATCATTATTTACACAGTGTTTTGCAGTACAAGCTTTAATGAAGCGATATAAACTATTCACATACTGTTTGAAAAGACCCACTTGTAATTACAGATGCACTCAAGCTCTTTCTATTCAATATATATGACTGAACCCATATGATTTAAGCAATAAATACCTATAATTTGGGTTTTGTTTAGATTTATCACCATTTTGGATGTAAATGTAATCCTCTTTGAATCATAAGTTTGGTGAACAGCTTTTGAGAAGTTTAGGTTTTCCTCACTGCATTTGCATGACTGAAATCACTCAACAAACATTTCTTATTTTTCTAAATGTTGTAAACAGTTGTGCTGCTTCATGTTTTTTTTTTGTGTGTGGAAAATATATGGTGGGAAGACGACTTGTATATGGTTGGAATTGCAAATGGTTGCTATGTGGTTTCCTGAGCAACGGCAGGTTTGGGGCTGGTGGCGCCGCGCCAAGCAGGGAGGCGCAGGTGCTGGGTTACATGTGATGAAACACACGGGCCGTACACAGGACAATAGCATCAGTCTGACCTCCGTCTCGTTTGACACTTGGGATGCATGGATCTCAGGCAGTGTGTGTGTATATTTGAATGGCCCTTTTTGTGGTTGCCTGCATCTAATGTGTTGTTTGTTGTGTGCGATAACTAATTTTTATCAAGTTTATCAGCCATACCCTAGTGAAAAATAAATTCACCGAAATGCATTTATTTCATGCTACGTATACTGCATTTACATATGAATTTAATAGGGCTGGGCGATGTGACCAAAATCTCATATCACGATATAAGTCAGCTCATATCCCAATAACGATCACAATGGGCTATATGCACGCATAAATTACGCATTTGACACAAGGATGCTCGTCCATTTCCTCGAACCGAGGAAAACGGGATTATGGCAGAGTCTTCAAAATTTACTGTCCTCCCGACTTTGAAACGAAACGTACATACGTTTAGATGTAATTTTATATATAGTTATGTTTATTTAATATAATTTTAAAAAGAAGCATAAACACAACGAGGGGTGTCTGTTTTATCTGTTTTTGTGACTAACGTTTCTTTATTATAACCATGGAGTATAAAATTCAATATAAATTCAGTATTGCATTGGACTCTACGGTCGGCGGAAGTTATCGAGCATCCTTAATCCTTCACCGGAAATACCGCCGTGCATAGAGCCCATATAGTACCTTTTCTGTAAATTCAACCAATTAAATGATTAGTTCACTTTTGAAAAAACTTTTGCTGATAATTTACTCACCCCCATGTCATCCAAGATGTCCATGTCTTTCTTTCCTCAGTCGAAAAGAAATTTAGGTTTTTGATGAAAACATTCCAGGATTTTTCTCCATATAATGGACTTCAATGGGAACCGGATGGTTCAAGTATCAAAAGACGGTTAAAAACTGTTTCAGATGCAGCTTCAAATGTCTTTAAACGACACCAAACGATGAATAAGGGTCTTGTCATGCGAAACGATCGGTTATTTCAAAGCTTATTCCAAAAATGTAACTTTTATAAGGACAAATGCTAGCCTTGCTATATTCTCTGAGGCGCGTTTGTAACGTCACGTAATACGTAATTACGTTCAAAAGGTCACGGGCGACGTAGCCGGAAGTACAGAATCAAAATCGTCCGACATCGTTGTTTTTCCTTTTAATTCCTTTTTTTGTAAACGGCGTTTGAGTTAGTTTGCACGTTCAACCTATGCATTCAACTTGTTAACACTGACTCTGTACTTTCGGCTACGTCGCCCGTGACCTTTTGAACGTAATTACGTAATACGTGACGTTGCAAACGCGCCTCACAGAATATAGCAAGGCTAGCATTTGTCCTTATAAAAGTTACATTTTTGGAATAAGTTTTGAAATAACCGATCGTTTCGCATGATAAGACCCTTATTCATCGTTTGGTGTCGTTTAAAGACATTTGAAGCTGCATCTGAAACAGTTTTTAACCGTCTTTTGATACTTGAGGCATCCGGTTCCCATTGAAGTCCATTATATGGAGAAAAATCCTGGAATGTTTTCATCAAAAACCTAAATTTCTTTTCGACTGAGGAAAGAAAGACATGGACATCTTGGATGACATGTGGGTGAGTAAATTATCAGCAAAAGTTTTTTTAAAAGTGAACTAATCCTTTAATAGTTTATATATTTACCACATGGAAAAGACTAATTATTTTCTAC